AGGAGAAGCTTATGGTGAAATAACTGATTCGCTGCTCTTCAATAGTCTGTGGGTGAACTGTACCAACACAGATTTTCAGTAAAAGAACATAAACATAATCCTGGTACTCGATTGAAACAAAGACAAAAATAGAACTGCAAGGAGAAAAGCTAACCCACAAAATCATAAGCTTCATCAGATCTCAAATCATAAGCTTGATCGAACAGCTCAAATAAGCTAAAAGGGAAAATAGAGTACACGCTGGAGCTTAAGCACCTCAGTTATTCCAATACACTTACTATCCATCTCAAGAAACAAATCCTGCTTACAATGGAGAGCAGGACGACCAAACTATCACCACAAGCTATTGCATTAATTGTCTTAAAAGGGAAGGCAGACAAAATAAAGACTAATTACACAACCTAAAAGGCAACACACATAGATGATTCTAACTATCTGAAAGTAATACCTAATCTTGTCAAGAGGCTGTCAAATTTCACCAAAAGATACATATCTCAACAATAGTCTATAGAAGAACATGTAGCAAACTAAGGCATCAATTAACCGATAAATAACGAAGGATACTTAAAACATCACATCACTGGAATTATACAACAAAAGTGACGCCCACTCTCTAAAAGGCAGTATGCTTTAGTAACAGTCTGAAACTACGACATACACGTACACCTAGTGGATATCCAATACCACAGAAGCCCATTTCTTAGAATCAGAAGCCACATATATTCTAGCCCTGATAATCTAATATCTTCAAACTAACACAACAATAGATAAGCCTTGTTTTAATGCGCAGAGCATAGTCTAAAATTATGGAACTAACTCATTAATAGATAAACCTTGATTGTACCAATAATTAAAAAGGATGGTTACTGGTTAGTCCACTACTTGGAAATACGACAAAGTGAATGTTTACTAGGTAAAAGCCTATATGCTTAATGACTTAAAAGTTTTGATTTTTATGTAAGCCCACTGAATATCCAATACAATAAATTCCTATTTATTACGCAGAATGCAGAAGCCGCACGTCCTAAAGCATAATCTAACATTATTGAACTAACGCATAGAAAATAATCGACAAAAAAAACTTCAAAACATCATACACATATACATATAAGAATAAAAACAACAGGCAGCAAAAAAGTTGAAAATTCAGTAGAACGGACAAAAAAAAGTTACAGTTAGATGCCCAAAATCTCATCTTCATCCTAAAACCTAAGGCCCAAACGCGCTTTCTTACCTGATACAAACACGCAGTAAAAATTACATCGAAATCACAACAAAATTGAAGAGTGAACAAACAAATTGATCAATCGAACAAAACCAAGCCCTAACCCTAGAGATCAAAATCGAAAGCTTTGATCGAAATCGAACACGACGCACCGATTAGACGACGCCCTTCGCTGGCGCAAAGATCTCCCCCAATCTACAAGGTTGCTTACGACGATCCCTGCAGAAATCAAAAAAGCGGAATTCGAATTAATCATCGATTCGATCCAAATTTAATGAAGATTGAAAGAAATCGAGTCGAAACCCTAACCCTAGCGTTCTGAACTCGCCTCGGAATCGTGGAAATTAGGGCTCGTAATTTGGGTGGAGATAGAAAAAAATTGGAGTTTTGGTTACGTTTCCAACCCCTATTTAAAAGCCACGACAGCGAAGGATTAGCGGCGAGTGAGCACAAGGGTAGGCTTCAGGGACGAGTAACTTATCCTGTTCCTATGACGTGTTTCGATCCGGAACGTTGGCCTTAGAAGTGGAGTTTTGGGTTCATTTGCGAAGAAATTTGCAAAATAGACATATTTTGCTAAATATTTACAAAACAGACTGTTTTGCTAAATATTTAGCAAAACAGACCTCCTTTTGACTAACAGGCCAAAAAAGATCGATTTTGCTAAACAGATCATTCGAAACATACAGGACTAGTTAAATCATACGGGACTATTAGTCCTGTATGTTTCGAATGGCCTGTTTAGCAAAATCGATATCTTTTTGACCTGTTGGCCAAAAAGAGGTCTATTTTGCTAAATATTTAGCAAAACAATCGGTTTTGCTAAATATCTAGCAAAATAGATCTATTTTGCATTTTTTTTTCCTTCGTTTGCTGATTTCGTACGCTGTGCGTAAAGGTGTGGCCAAGCTTCGGCGAGGTTACCGATTTTAAGAGGTGAGTAGTTGGTTTTGGTGAGGTTCATGCGGAGCAAACTTTTGGGCTTTCGTCAAGGGTTCATACAAAGAGCATCTATAGATCAAGGGTAATTTCCACCTAAAAATATCAAGGGTAATTTCCACCTAAAAATATCTCAGAACTTAACACCATTTTAATCTTGATATCTCAAGTTTTTGAGAAAAAGACATGCCAAATCAGGATTTAAGGTAAAAAACTAACTATTGGATGATTATCACTAAGATACCTTACCGTTTCCCTTATTGCATTTTTGGCGGCACTTACGAACCTTCAAAACATTTTAAACTTTACATAATAATACCTTCTATAATGCAAATGTGCCAATTTTCTCGTGATTAATTATAGGGCTTTTTTTTATAAGAAAACAACCACAAAAAATAGTGGCTTTTTGAAAAATCACCATAATTTTTTTTATTTTCATAGAACCAACACAAAATATAATGGTTTTGCAGAGAACCACCACAAATTGTTTAAATTTTTATAGAACTGCCATAAAAATGTGCATCCATAACAAAGTGCTAGCAAATTATAGTTTTGCATCTATATCGTGTTAAACTAAAATGCTAGATCCCTAAAATACCATCATCGTGTGACATGTCAATTTGTTAGTATACTTTTTCAAACCAACAAAATGTACGGGTATCGCTGGTGATCCAGATAGTTGGGAGGTTTCAACATGACCCCAACTATCTTGGATTCAATTATTAAAAAAAAGAAAAAAAAAAGGGGCGGGGGGGGGGGGGGGGGGGGGGGGGGAAAAAACAAAATACCTTATTTTCCTCTAAAATTTTGTTACCTTGCCAAAAAAAGTTTTCATGCCCTCCAAATACCCCCACTCATCCTCTCTAATTTTTTGTCATAATGGGCATTTATGTTATTTTTATACTAATTTAACAAAATATGTAGGTAAATTATGACTTGGTGAGACTTTGTAAAAGATTCATTTTTTTCATGGTGGTTCAATGAAAAATAAAATTTGTGAGGTGGTTTTTCGAAAAACCAGAATATTTTGTAGTGGCTCTATGAAAATAAAAAAAATTACAGTGATTCTGCAAAAAAAAAAAAAACTATATTTTTGTGGTGGTTTGCTATAACAAACCCTTAATTATATTATACAAATATTTGTTGAATTCAATGTTAAGTATATATATCCTAATTCTATATAAGCCCATAAAGTTGTTGTGTATTGACAATACAAATGTGTTCTCATTTTTCCCAATCAGGACGCGAGAATACGCACTCATTTTTCCGAGTAGCAAACAATAAATGGATCATTTACAGCCTGTGGGCTAACGGATAAATCATAAACTAGGCCCAGTCCAATAGTATTATACATCAAGGGCATTATGGTAATATCGACAAGGACAGCATCCTTATATCATCCTCAGTTCCGCGATCTAGGGTTTTCTTCTGCAGCCGCTGAAGCTTGAAATTTTAGGGTTTTTGGAGCGAGAGAGGGCGGCAAAAAAATGGTGGAAAAGGGAAGCAAAGGGAGGAAGGAGGAGGTGGTGACGAGAGAATACACCATCAATCTCCACAAAAGACTTCATGGATGGTACTTTTCTCAATCATTTCTGCTTTTTCCTTTACATGTTTTATAAAAAAAATTTATATCGAATATGGTCGTTATAATGAACGTTAGCTTTAAAGATTTAGCATTGAAATGCTACTCAAATAAACTAAAGTTCGAGAATTTGCTCGATGTTAATATATTACAAGAGGTGAAGAATCTTTGGGTCTAGCCCTGATTGTGTAGTATGTATTGTGAAAAAATTTATAGTTTTCCAGTATGTGGATTATTGAGGGGTTTTATTTTTGAGAGAATGTAGGGTAACATGGCTTTGCAAGTAAATTAGTGTGATTGGAGATGGACTACCAAATTATTAACTGGTCTTTTAGGTTGACCCGTTATTGATTCGTAGTTGGGGACAAGGATTCTATCATATATCTGATACCTTTGTAGTTCTTTGTTTCGTTCAGGGCACAGAGAAAATGACTATATTCACAATTGTTGCCATTAATACGTAGAAAGCTTTGCGTATGAAGAAACAATACCAGGAATAAATACCAAACAATGTAATGCTTACCCTCCTGCAATCAAACCCGCTCACGCAAACACCCGTCATACATATGCTTCATTCTCAAGATGAGCCCATAATGTACTATTCCGTGCACCCCAAACCAAAGGAAAAGAATACTGATGTTTTTTTTTGTCTAGCTTTAGAAATATCAATGATAGCCTAACTCTGTACATTTGCACCTTTCTTCCGTATTTGATATGGTAAATGACATGATACCTGGACATGGCTTGTGTTAGACGAAACATTAGTAAAGAATAGCAATCAAGATATTTGAAGGATCCAAACGTATACTGGAAGCTTTGCACTTGTTTTTCCCTTTATAATGCATATTATGCTACAAACAGTGATGTGATTATTTTAGTATGCCATTCTCGGTAGAAATGGCATCAAAACATATCGACCCACTGGGATCAGTATTGTGTGCGTCAATATCTGTGTTTACTTCTAAAAGACTAAAACTTACCACGACTCTGGAAACACTCGAGAACTTGGCTCATATGCCACGCTAATGTCAAAACTGGCATTTAAACAATTTACATTCTCCTAAATACTGCTGCATTTTTTTTATCTTATAGAATGGAATGTGTCTTTCTTTTGGGTCAGAATGTATACGTCACCTCCTCCGATTTTCATAATCCTAATATTTTTCATGATCTGTAATTGTATTGATAGCTGCAAATTATTTCCTCTGAATTGTATATTTAGCAATTAGCCTGAATCTCCATGCAATGTGCTCTGACAACCTTTTGGTTAACAAAGATTAGATCCAAATTGAAGTGAAATTTCTTGTAAGTTCTCGCCATTCAGGATCATATCTAGTTGATTTAATTTATTGATCATTATAAAATACTCCAAACATTAATAAAACTTTTTGTTGGCAACTATGATATCAGAAACTCTAAATGAAGCTAATTTGACACAGTTTTTTACTTTTTCCTTGATTGTAGGAATCCCTTCTACAATGTAATTCCTATTGTATGTTGAGATTAGTTTAGCTGTTCCAACTGGCCAATGGTTCTCTAAGTCTGATATCTTCATTTTTTGTTGAATCCCTGTTGTAGTACTTTCAAGAAGATGGCTCCCAAGGCAATTAAGGAGATCAGGAAATTTGCTCAAAAGGCAATGGGGACAACCGATGTGAGAGTTGACGTGAAGCTCAACAAGCACATCTGGAGCCGTGGCATCCGAAGTGTTCCAAGGCGAGTACGTGTAAGGATTGCCCGCAAGAGGAACGAAGAAGAGGATGCCAAGGAAGAGCTCTACTCGTTGGTCACAGTTGCAGAGGTTCCTCCTGAAGGACTCAAGGGATTGGGAACCAAGGTCATTGATGAAACAGACTAAATTAGTCCCATACCTGTTTCGAACCAATTTTAGCAGTGAAATAGACTTTAATTTCAGATTTCTGATGGAATTTTGTCAATTTTTAAGCAATTCTGGTGTTTGGAATCTCTGGTATTTTTGGATTATATATTGGCTTGAGTTTTTTTAATCATATGCACTAATCAATTTCCTTCGGTAATGTTGCTTGAAGTTCATTTTGCTAGAGGCGTTAGTTGATTATCAGGCTGCGAGAGCTGATATCAGTAGTTTCAGGTGACATTTCATAGGTGTACGTGTTTTGATAGCTTTATTTTGGTTGTAAAAGAGGTGCGGTATTTTGTTTCTAGATTACATTCTTATGATGAGCAAAAAAGGAGCTGAAAGGGAAACGCAGTGTCATGTTTGCTTCTGTTGCTTGGTTTGTGTGCTGCATCTCAAGCTGCATAATAGAGTTAGAACTGGCCACTCCAGCTCCATGTTAAAATTTTAAGTTCGACTATTCTTGAAGTGTTACAATAATTTTGCCAAAATGATAGGAGGTGCACTGGACTTTCAGTAATTTGATGTTGCTTGGTAAGCTGATATGTTGCTTCAGTTATGAGTTACACTATGTGATGCTGAAGGTCTGGTTTCACTCACAGCACCTAACCGGACCTTGCTTCATGTTCGTTGACTTCATCCCTATCGAATCACTCCAAAATCTTATTTCTATACTCTGAAACTCTAACTGAAACTCTAACTGAAAGATAACATAAAATGAAATTCCAACTAACCTGACAATAGTTGAGTTACTAAAATGAAAACTCCAAATATTGAGATCTATTTTGTGCTAGATCACTATTGTTGTGTGCAAGGGATGTCTCTGAGTTATGCTCGCTTGTTTAAAAGACAAGAAACAGGGCTGATTCACGCCAAACATCCAGACTAGCGACGTGGAACTCAGTTACACGCAAGTGTCTTGCCTTGGTGTTAATTGTTCAGAGACATGGTTATCCAGCTTGAATAGAACTTGTTATATCTGCTCTCTGCATGCTTGCGTGGCTTAGAGCAAATATACGATCACATACCAGTCGACGTGATTAGAGTACAACCAGTACATATTTGCTTCTTGTTTACCACAACACAAACATGTACATGCTATAATAGTTCACTCTGTCCATTATATAAACATGTACAGGCTAACCATTTATGAATTTTAAGTGATGCATAAAACCTAAGAGCAAAAGCAGTCCTATCTTCTGAGTAACACAAATATTACTAGTAACAACCCCATAATGTTGTAGAGGCTAAATATTAGTGAATTTTAAGTATATACAACCTAGGTGGTAATACAGTTCTATCGTCGAGCAATAAAAACATTCCTCGCAACAACCACATTGGAGAGAATAAACTAGTGAACAGAAACTTTTAACTTGAATCTCCTCACAGGCATTTGTAAAAATACTCAAATATCAACTATATTTGATCATGACTTTCACAAGTTAATTACAATAGGTTAGTTAACTCAGTTTTGCTCCTTATTATAGGAGCCAAAATAAGATTCCAGTAATTTCAACACCACTACAAATAAGCTACAGTTCAAATATTACAATTCCCTCACAATGTAAAGGCTTTCGTGTAAACTTAAAAAAATCGATGCAGCATTAAAATAATAACCATTGGAGCCAATTCATTGACATGAAGGAAATAGATGCACAATGAATTGCTCAAACTTGGCCAATCATGTATATTCAATAGTCAATGTATTAATTAGATTTACATAGAAAGAATTGAACAAATATAGTCATCTGAAAAATGTGTAGAAGAATTTACCTACTCTCATAGTCCTTTGGTCGAAGGTACTAAGTGCCTTGCTGCCTGTGAAATAGACCCATCACAATGTGCATCACCTCGATCTTGTCGAGGATTGCTCTCTTTCTCTATCTTTCCTCCACAATTTAAAATCATCAGAGTTTGGTAGAATTATGGCTTTCAAAAAATCACCAGTAATCTCCACAAGAACACGACCCTTTTACAATTACATGAAACCGACTTCTATCCCTCAACGATAGTTCTCTTCCATAAACCACCGATACAAACTTAGCAAAATTATGACAATCAACACATATCCTAAGGTTCTTAATAACCTGAATATTCCCATGATGAGAACTCCACATCAACCCAAATGCTATTGCCAATTTCTCACTGTGCCCAAGTAGCATCCTCTCCTTTTGCTCATCATCAACATCATGCAATATGCAGCTCAAATCAGGAACATAACCAGCTTCTTTTATGTTCACATATATTTCCCTAACCTTGGCTTCAACCTCTTTCCTTTGAGGGTGAGATCGATCGTTAGTGTGAAAGGTGTGATTTATTTTACCTAATTTGATGCAACTTATAGCAGGCTCTTTGATAATAGTATTTTCCTTCATTAAAGCTCTCACTCGCATCACATCCTCCCATTTTCCTGCAGAAGCATAAATATTAGAAAGAATCACATAATTTCCTGCATTCTCTGGCTCCAGATGTAAAAGCCTCTGAGCTACAAATTCTCCAGCTGAAACATTAACATGAACCCTGCAAGCACCAAGCAGTGAACCCCAAATAGCTATTGTTGGTTCAAATGGCATATCTTTGATAAAATCAAAAGCCTCATTAATTCTGCCTGCCCTCCCTAACAAATCAACAACACACCCATAATGGCCAATTTCAGGATGAACCTCTTCATCTTTAGTCATGAGATCAAAAATTCTTAAACCTTCATCAACAAGTCCACCATGGCTACAACCAGATAATACTGCCATATACGTTGAACAATCAGGCTTCAATACTTCTCTCATGGAATTGAAAAGTTTGATAACTTCATTCCCTAGTCCATGCTTAGCATATCCTGCTAACATTGCATTCCAACTTATTACACTTCTCTCACACATTTTATCAAAAATTCTCCTCGAATAGATAAGATTCCCACATTTTGAGTACATGTCAATAAGAGAGTTCTGAAGAACGATATAAAATGGAAGTCTGGATCGAATTGTGATACAGTGTACTTGCTTTCCATAATCCACAGCAGCTAAGCCAGAGAGTGCAGTCAAAAGACTCGTAAAAGTGACATAATTACATGTCATACCCTCTTTATATAACTCACGAAATAATTCCAAGGCTTCATTGTCGAGGCCTAACTGCGCATAACCAGAAATAATAGCAGTACAAGAGACAACGTCTCTTTCACTAAGGTCTTCGAATATCTTTCTTGCTTCATGAATTTCACCAGCTTTTGCATACATATCAAGAAGAGAACTGCCAACAAATATATGGGATTCGAAGTTGAGCTTGATGGACAGGGAGTGGACTTGCATTCCATGCTGGAGGCCATAAAGACCAGCACAAGATGTAAGAATTGAAGCCAAAGTGTGTTGATTTGGTAAGAGATCTGAGAATAATACCATTTTATGTACTTTCAATATTCACACTTTACAAGGTCAACTTCATTGAGAGTACCATTGAATATAATCTTGGGTTAATTGCACATAGGCCCCATGTACTATTGTTGTCTTAAAGTTACATCATCTGTCGTTTCAGCAGATAGACCCCGTGGTTTTTTTTTAACTATTTTACCATCAGATAGACTCACTAATTTCACTTAGGGGCAATATTTGCCGAAATTTCGCCAAGGGTAAAAGAGTCAAAAAGTTTAGACCTAGGGGTTCATCTGCAATAACAAGACTACATGGGCAGTAAGTGCAAAACAAAGATACTAAAAGGTGTCTATGTGCAATTAACGTTATAATTTCACTATATTCAATGAAAATGGAATTAGCATATGACGAGCAATGTTGTACACGAATGTGAAGTGGCGTATAATATATGAAAATGATTAATAACTATTTGGGTGTGCAAATAACCATACAATATCAAACAATATGACTCAATTCACCTGTCACCATCATCCGAACGAATAAACCCAAGGCCTCCGAATGAAGACCCTTTTTCGAATACCCTGATACCATCGCAGTCCACGAAACAATACTCCTCCCGGGCATTTCCTCAAACAGTTGGCGTGCGTCGTCAAGAGCATCACACTTGACATAGAAGATCACAAGCCTTGTGTTGAGGTAAACTTGCATGGGGTAACGGGTCTTGGTCATATGAGAGTGGACCCGTTGACCCTCTCTATAGGCCCTTCCATTCATGCATGCGTCGAGGACAGAATCGTAGCTCCGAAAATCTAATTCTAATCCTACCGTGGACATTTTTACAAGCGCATCCTCTAGTTGACCGTTGGGGAGTAGACACTGAGAGTTTGAATTTTGGCGGGAAAGGGAGGAGAGGGCTCTCATGAGAATTCTGGTTTTGAGCATTCTTTGTTTTTTTTTTCCTTATTATTTTTGGGTTATTTTTGAAGAGCGGAGGGATCAACGGTTATCGATAGACTAAAGGGTGGTTAACGGGTCGGGTCTAAGAGGGCATGTTAATGGGTCGGGTACTGGACCATTGATTTGTCACATCCAATTGCACCTCCAAAGACGTCGAGTTTGCCGAGACCGTTCACCAAAGGTTTCGTCTGAAAATAATGAAATCTAAAGCACAAGTTCGTTGGAACTTGAGGGTATGTTTTGCAAAAGTCGAAAAGCTTATTTATGGGCCAAAGCGGCGGGTGTTGTACATAAACCCTTCCCATTTTGTTTATCTAATACAATCCCCCGAAATCTTTGGGGTTCCTCACAAAATTTCTCTGAGCTTTAACCTTTTCTCACCAGACTCATTTGTGTATAATTTGAAAAATAACTAAAATTTTACTCTGAGGAAAAATTAACGTTAAATTTAAGCGTGATTTTGTGAGACGCGCCTAATCTTAGGGAGTTATGCAAGATAAACGAAGTTTTAAGGGGTTATGCGAAACACGCCAAAGTTAAGGGGCTTATATGAAATTAAGCCTTTATTCATACCTTCCCCTCGCGCTCTCATGCATGTCATGGACACGAACGAGATCATGACTCATTTCCCAATTCCCATTTCTTGATCCCCTTTCCAAATTTTCAAAACCCTAATTTCTCAATCCCACCCCCCGAAATCCAAAATCGGCAAAGAATCGATCAAATCCAGAGACAGGGAGTGAGAGATCGAGGGATATCTCATGACGATCCAACCCTAGCCCCCGCAACCAATCGATCGATTAGGGTTTCTGTTCGTTTTGTTAGCTGATGGCGAATTTGCACGGAGATTTCAACCAGAAGATCGATTACGTGTTCAAGGTGGTGCTGATCGGGGACTCGGCGGTGGGGAAATCCCAGCTCCTTGCTCGGTTCTCGAGGAACGAGTTCAGTTTGGACTCGAAGGCTACGATTGGGGTTGAGTTTCAGACTCGGACGCTTGCGATTGATCATAAGACTGTCAAGGCTCAGATTTGGGATACCGCCGGTCAAGAAAGGTGATAGCTTGTTTAATTTTCTCTATTTTTTTAATGGTTGCTTTTGAGTTGTTGGGTAAGTTGTGGTTGGTTGTTTGCTATTTTTAATTTTCAATTATAATTGTAGTGGTTTATTCATTCACTTGGATACCATTGTGTTTTTCTTGTTGTGTAAAAAACACCATGATGTTGTGTTTTTCCCTTAAAATGATTTCAAAACATCATGTTAAGTATTTTTGATCAACACTAGTTTGACTCATTATAACATTAATATTAAAAATATTGTTAATATATTCTATATTAATTATAATAAAATATATTATAAATAAAATATTATAATATTTAGTTTACATTATTATAGTATTATAAGTATTAAATGTAATGCAATATAATATTGTATAATGTATTATAATATTATATTATACTTTAATGAGTTATATTATATTATATTTATTATTATATTATAATTATTACATACTATTTTCAAATAATTATATATTTAATTATTTTGGTATATGAATTTGTTATTGTTGTACATTATATTAATATTTTTATAATAATATTATTTTATGTATTTAATATAAATTATACTATTATTAATATAAGTATAATATTAATATTAATTCATATAAATAATATTTTAAATAATGTTAATATTATGTTATTAATAATTAATATATTAATAAATATTTTAAATATTATATAATATATTATAGTTTTTTAATATGTTAAGAGTTTTATTAAATAGTACTTTAACAATATATTAGTATTTATGAAATATTAATAAATATTAGTATATTAAATGAATATATTATTTTGTATATTAATATTTGTTAGCAATTAATTATTTATTATAAATTATTTTATTTTTATAATAAATTATATTAATTTATTAGCATAAATATTAATATTTTATATATTACTTTACATTTACTATATAATATGTTATTATAATATTAATATTATATGTTGTGTTGTTATACAATATGTTAGCTATATATAATATTTTTTATAATTATTAATTTATTTCAAATTTATTTATTAAAAAGTTAATCATATTATACGAATATACTATTGTATAATATATTATTTATATAATTATTATATTATTATTTATTATCAATAACTTTTTTATTATTTTTATTTAGTTTATTTATATTTATTATTATTTATTTATTATATAATACATTATTAACATATTAAATATTGGTATTTAATATGTTAATATTATTATATAAGATATTTTATTTATTATATTTTGATATTATTTAATAAATATTACTAATATATTAAATTAACTATAATGTAGTATGGTGTATAGTATAATATAATAAGCATGTTGATAATAACTCTATATTAATTATATTTAATATATTATGTTAGATATTATATTAACACATTCTCAAACTCAAAACCAAAACATCAAACTTAAAACACCTAAAAGGTGTTTTGAAATAAGTGTTGTGTTTTTTGTTTGATGGTGATTTAGCTTAAAAACACCATGGTTTCCAAACACATTGTGTTTTGTTTTTGGCAAAAACACCATGGAAACAAGGAAAACACCATAGTATCCAAACGGAGCCAAATGTAGTTTTTGCATTGCTTTTGTAGATTAAAACTAGTTGTTACCTGCGCGGTGCATGAGACTTGGTATAAAGTGTTGTTGTGCTTGTGTTAGCTTGTTAATAGTGTAACAACAACAACAAAGCTTTTATTCCAAGTGCTTGGGATTGACTACATAAATCATATTCTTCTATCTCATCCCATTATGGCGCATCTCCTCCGTTAAGTTAAACATAATCATATCCTGCTTACTTGCTTCCAACCAAGTTCTTTTAGGTTTATCTCTAGATCTTCTAGCCTCATTACTTTTCTTAATCAGTGCACTAAGTGGTTTCCGTTGTACATGACCAAACTATCTTAGTCGATTTTCTTTCATTTTATCATCAATAGGAGCAACATCTAATTTATTAGAGATGCACTCATTTTTAACTCTATCTTTTAGTTTAGAGCCACAAGATCATCGCGGTATTCTCATTTCTGTTATACTCATTTTTTGCACATGTTTTTTAATTGCCCAACACTCTGACCCATAAAACATTGTTGGTATTATAACCGTCCTATAAAAATTTCCTTTTAGCTTGTTAATAATATGACTTGATTAAACATTCATTCAAAATGAACACCTATTGATGTCATTTTCTCATGGAAAACTTAAAACAGGGAAATAGATACCTATTTATCTATTTTTGAGATAAATCATCTTAATAACGAATGAGGTATGTATGGATGATAGCATGAGAGCTAAAATGCATGAATGATATATATTCTGAGGGGATAGTGACATGTGTCTCATTCCTGCAACAAGCGGCAATTATTTTGTTATGATATTATAGTATTATAGGTAAGTTCTGTTAGGTTATGTGAAAACTTGTGGGTCTGCCTTGTTGTGCACGGCACGAAAGCGGGACAACCAAATAGGCGTGCTTCGAGAACCAAATCAAACAAACGTCGAGATAAAGGCCAAACAAATCAAAACAACGGCACAAATCCAAACACAATAGTTTTACGTGGTTCGGCAAATTACTTACGTCCACGGGGCAAGAAGGAGATTGGGTTTTCACTAATAGAGAAGAAGAGTACAAACTTAAGATTATAAATCACTCGAAGGAACAAACTAATCTCACCAACAAAGCTCTTAATCTCTCCAAATAAACCCTCAAACAATTGCTCAGAAAAACTCTCTTTTTTCTGTGCTCCAAATATCCCCAACCAATCTCCAATCAAAGCCCAAAGAAACCTTAATTCGTATATTGGTATTTATAGCAAACACCAAAACCCAATAAGAACAGGAAACCAATCATGGGCCTGACCCGATACGCGATCGACCGCCACGGTCGATCGCGACAAACGACAGAGCCTGGAAAACTCCTACAGGGTCTGACGGTCGACCGCGACGGTCGACCGTGCCAAAGCCAGACTCCTCCCAGAGTCTGTGCACGTTCGCGGTCGACCGGCCTTACGCCGCGGTCGACCGTGAAGCTCCAAACGTGACTCCTGCAGTCTTCAAAACCTGTTCTTCAACAAATCGTTCGCGGTTTCTTCATGCCTCAGATCACTGTGTGATTTGAGTACTTTTAGCTTTTTGTGTGATTTGGGGATTAATGATTAATATATGTTGGGCTGTTTATGATTAGATTCACGAGATTCTTTTGTTGTGTTTTCTTTGGATACTAGAGTTGATTGTTTGGGATGAAGATATTGAAAATTATGGTTTTTTTATGCTGAGTGATCGATATGATTTGACCATTTGAATTAAGATTTAGAACAGAAAAAATCCAGATTTTTTGCTGTTGCTTGATGATGTAAAGGACATTAGCAAATTGTTAATGGCTTTTCTTTTGTGAAGATTGTAATTTTTGATGTCAACGACAAGTATTGAGGAAATGGGTGTCAGAAGAAAGGAAATAATTTCTAGTCTACCTGATCTTCAAGTTTTATTTTGCTTTATGATAGCCTAGAGGTTTTTATATTGATTTTCTACTCCTCGTTCACTGATAACCTTTTGTTCGCTTCAATGATTTAATAACTTCTTGAGTTTTATGAAAAATAAAATTAAAGTGACTGTTTATTATGTAATTTGGAATTCTTGAAGACCAGCTTTTTGTTGAAAGGGCATGCTGAAATCTTTGCTTTATCGACATAAGTTTAGATATGTTTCGGTATAAGAAGTGAAATGCATTGAATTATTGCATAAAAAGTCAAGAGACAAGCCCTATGTCTTCTGGAAAGACATGGAAATGGACATTTCAAAGTTTAGCATATATGTAAACATTGTCATTATTATTTATTAGAAAGTGTCTTTGGACTTTCCATGCATTACATGTCTATGAGAACACATAGGGATACATTCTGTTTACTATGTAGTAATCAATGTATTTATGTTTGTGTCCCCATTTCCTACTTAATATCTGAACATGTATGGTTAGTGATTTGGGTAAGTTTGTAGTGGCATTATGTATGCTCTATTTTCTTAGATTATGAAATATGGGATACTGGGATACTGGTGTTACAGGAACTCTTACGTGAAATCTATATTTTGCATATTGAACAGCGTAGTTCGTCCTAAAAACCTATAAATGTGTGTATATTTCAGTTTTTGCTAGCAAGTTAACTCGATCTAAAAGTCATTGGTTACACATTTGTTGATGCACTGTGATATTACCTGGGAACTCTGATAGTTGCCTTGGTTGTTTAATTGAGATATGGTAATCTTTGATAGCTTTTATGAAAACTCCGTGTTTGGTTTAGTTTTTAACTGTCGTGAGGATCTTAAGTTTGGCATGGCATTTAATACCCATTGTCATTTCTTTGAAGTGACAAAGCATTTAAAAGTTTATAGCTTTTATGAAAACTCGGCATCAGGTTTAATTTTTCACTGTCATGAGGATCTTAAGTTTGGCGTGGCATTTAATTCCCCATGGTTTATTGTCGTTTCGAGATCAGTTATTTCTTCCAACGGAGAGAAATTCTTGTACGCCTTAGTTAGCTACTTTATCTTATATTTTCAGCTAACATGATTCGGTTCCATGACCTGTTCTCTCACTGTTTACATTAACTCCTGTACATATTTGGACTAAACTTCATCGAACAAGAAAAAATCATAAGATTCATAACCAAAATAGTTTTTATATACAGTGTTTTTCTAACTGTAGCCTAATGTATCTTTTTCTGAATTAAACTGATGCATTTATTATCTACTGATATAAGTTTGTGCCTAATTAATAATGCCAGAGTTCCATGCTAGATTATGTAAAACTGTTATTAACCTATGTAACGGATAAGTATTACTGAAACCACCAGCTATGCTTTGCGCTGATATAGGTATCGGGCTGTGACAAGTGCATACTACAGAGGAGCAGTAGGAGCAATGCTAGTCTACGATATGACCAAGCGTGTCACCTTCGATCACGTAGCTAGATGGCTCGAAGAACTCCGAAGCCACGCCGACAAAAACATCGTCATAATGCTCATCGGCAACAAATCTGACCTTGGAACTCTACGAGCAGTCCCAACTGAAGATGCAAAAGAATTCGCGGAGAAAGAAAACCTATTCTTCATGGAGACTTCTGCTCTTGATGCTACTAATGTTGAGACTGCATTTCTTACCGCACTTACTGAGATTTATCGTATTGTGAGTAAGAAATTGCTTGTGGCGAATGATGGGCCTGATGCTGGAGGGAGCGGTTCTTCTTTGCTTAAGGGGACTAATATTGTCGTGCCGGGGCAGGAGCCGGTTGTTGAGTCATCGTGCAGTTGCTAGACCTCCAACTGGCTCTGGAGTTTTGAAAGAAGTTAGGTTGTAAGTGTTTGAGAGGAATTGTTGTAATTAGGATACTGTATTCTTTGATTTGTTAGGCAGAATTTTGTCTGTCTTTTGGATGTGAATTGTAATGCCAGCATGATTTGTTGTTTCTGAATTGATATTCATGTTTGTTCCGTTGGAAGTTCATAAATATTATTGTTGTATTTTGCTTTGAGGATTCAAAATATATTGAGGTTGAGTGATGAGAAGGGAAAAAGTGATGTTAATGAACTTTTATTGAGGTTCAAGAGGTTGCGCTTGTTAGGGTACACGCCAACAAGAACGCCTCAAACGGAGACGCAAAACATACCCAAATGATCTTGGAATCACAGAATAAAACCAACAAACCCGAGTTCAATCACAATACTCACAGATATAACGTTGTTCGTTCTTACGGAGCTACTTCACGATGCAACGACGACGCCCAATTTCTTTATATTCATTTCGAGGTTAGAAAATAAAAAGATAAAAGAGAACACCCTTTCTTGATCAAGATACTCTCCAATAATTCTCACAAGCTCTCTCTCTCTCAATATCTCTTAATAATATTACTTATATATGTATCTTTCCCTTTCTCTGTCTGCTATTGAGATACTTTGCAAATCATATTTAGGGGGGTATTTATAAGTTTTCTCATGGGGATAGGTGAACACTATAATAGAGAATAGGTGAACAATATTTGGGGTAGGTAAACACTGTAACAGGGGTAGGTGAACACTGTAGGTAAACAGCCTCAATGTTCTCAACAGCGCAGTCATTATACATGTGTTAGATTTCTTACTTGGGCCGGAGTGCTGAAGATATTTTGCTTGTAGGTGTATGTTCATGACTATGTTAGTTTCGGTTACCACAAGGTGGTCCAATAACTTCCCATCATCAAGAGAGTTGGTTATGAATTAACCGACCACTTTGCCCACTAATTCCATTTGTTGCACTCTGATGGAGAGAGTATAAAAGGAGCATACAGATTTCGGGTCCCTAGATCTACTCTTCAATTTTGAAAGAAAAATACATCATCATTAAGTGAAGAGATAAGGTTTAGAAGATCTTCGAAATCAACATCCATATCCTTGAGTAAGATAACGATGGCTGGATGTTAGTTTAATCTATTACGCTTCCGTTTTGATATAGATTATATTTTCAGTTTCTAAACATGTTTAGATCGTGTATTTGAATTTCTATCATGTTTAGATTAACTTTCAGTAATTTAAAATAATTTACATTTGGTATCAGAGCTATTGGTTGTAGAACTTATGATTTTCCATAATAATATTTATTTCTCGTTTTTTCTTAATTAATTGTTCGTTGTGAAAATCATTTGTTCTAAGATCTTGGTATAATGATAATCAAATTGATTTGCTTAATTAACAATTCGGATCTGTTCATTCAATATCTATACATATCTTGATTGTATTAAATATTTTAAGGGAAATGGCCTAGTGGTAAGGCTTGAGGATTTGGCCTAGAGGTTTGGTGTTCAAACCCCTAGGGCTACACCATATATTAAAAAGTCTTTGATGGGCCTTGGGCCTTGGGTCTCTTTGAATTCTAAAATATTTTTCCTTGCTTTCGATTTTTTTTTTTTGCCTACATTACGTATTTCACAATTTCTAGTTAATGTTTATTTTCATGCATGTTAGATCCATTGCGTTTATCAAGTGATTTTTCCTGTGAATATAATTAAATGACTATTTAATTAAACCATATAGTTTAATTAATTTGGGAGTAGCCACAGCATCCTTAATTAATTAAAACTGTACAATAAGGTTTGTTATATCACTTGTTAAGGATCTTATTTAGAAGAGTAAACATTAATTGTGATTAATCGGATGTGATATAATAAAATTTATCCCACATGAATTTTTATTATATCTGTTTAATTAATTAGGGTAAAATGTCAAATTATATTTTCTAATTTACCCACAGGGATTAGGGAATAAAGAATAATTTGATAGTTTTATCATGAAGTTAAGATAAATCTAATTGAATTGGAACTTTAGCCCACAGGCAAGTTTTATGTCACTATATTTATATATTTGCATGTTTTTACATTGGTAGAACATGTCATATTTTGTTAGCTTCAAAATTAGTAACATGAGCATGATTATTTAATTTATTGCAGCAATTCCACCTGCTAATTACTCTGATATGAAATGTGATGTTCCCGAACTCAAAGGGGACAACTACAAAGTGTGGAAGGAGAGAGTTCTCCTTCATTTGGGATGGATGGACATAGACTATGCCATAAGGAAGATTGAACCCCCTACAGTTACTGAAATCAGCACTTTAGACGAAATTCAGCTTTATGAAAAATGGGAACGATCCAATCGTCTCTGTGTGATGTTCATAAAGACTAAAATTTCTGCTGGTATAAGGGGTTCAGTCGAGCAGGTTGACAAGGTCCAAGATTTACTAAAGGCTATCGATGAGCAGTTCGCCACTTCAGACAAAGCAATGGCGAGCACCCTGATCATACAGTTTTCATCCTTGAGGCTCACCAGCGTAAGGGGTGTGCGTGATCATATCATGCGCATGAGGGACATTGCGGCTCAGTTAAATGTATTAGAGGTTGAGATGTCTGAAGCCTTCCTGGTTCACTACATCCTTTGCACCTTACCTCAGCAATATGGCCCATTTAAGATATCCTACAACACACATAAGGACAAATGGTCGATCAATGAATTGTTGACCATGTGTGTTCAGGAAGAGGGCATGCTGCTTATGGAGGAAAAGGAAAAGGAAAAGGAAAAGGAAATTGTGAACTTTACTACCCCGGGAAAGTACAAGAAGAAGGATCAAGCCAAGGACAAGGGGAAAGGGAAAATCCCTCCTCAAAAGGACATTAAGAAAGAGATTGTGTGCTTCTTTTGCAAAAAGAAGGGGCACGTTAAGAAACAATGCTCCAAGTTCATGAAGTGGCTTGATAAGAAAGGTACTCAACTTTCTTTTGTTTGTTATGAATCCAATATGATTGATGCTAATCATAACACATGGTGGATTGATTCTGGTTCTACAATCCATGTCACCAATCCATTGCAGGATTTACGAGACCTGCGGAAGCCGATGGGAAGTGAGCACAGCGTCTATTCAGGAAATAAGATGCCCTCACATGTGGAGGCCATTGGCACGTGCAGACTGGTTTTAAGTAGTGGTTTTATTTTAAGTTTAGAAAAGACGTTTTATATTCCTAGTTTTTCTAGGAATTTAATTTTAGTTTCCAGACTTGTATCAGATGGTTATTCCTTTAACTTTTCAGATTTCGGATTTAATTTGTCTTATAAATCTGATGTTATTGGATGTGGTACTTTGTCTGATGGTCTTTTCCTCCTTAATTTGCAAAATGATGAAAACCATACTTCTATGCACGTTCATGAAAATGTTGGTACTAAACGATGTGTTGTGAATGAAGAATCTTCTATATTATGGCATCGGAGATTGGGACATATCTCCATTGATAGAATTAAAAGGTTAGTAAATGATGGGGTACTTGGTACTTTGGATTTTACTGACTTTGAGACTTGTATAAGCTGCATTAAGGGTAAGCAGACTAACAAGTCCAAAAAAGGTGCCAAAAGAAGTTCTGAATTATTGGAAATCATACACACTGACATTTGTTGTCCAGACATGGTTGCATACCGTGATAAGTACTTCATCTCTTTCATAGATGATTACTCGCGATACATGTATCTCTACTTGCTTAACAGTAAGAATAAAGCACTAGATGCTTTTAAGGTGTTTAAAGCAGAAGTAGAGAAACAATGTGGCAAACAAATTAAGATCGTGAGATCCGATAGATGTGGAGAATACTATGGTAGATACACTGAGAGTGGCCATGCAAATGGTCCATTTGCAAGGTTTCTTAGTGAAAATGGGATTGTTGCCCAATATACTTTGCCTGGCTCTCCGGACCAAAATGGAGTAGCTGAAAGAAGAAACCGAACATTATTGGACATGGTGCGCAGCATGCTTGCTAGCTCCAAACTCCCTAAATCCTTGTGGACTGAAGCTCTTAAGACGGCTGTGTACATATTAAACCGAGTTCCAACCAAGGCTGTCTCAAAAACTCCTTTTGAGTTATTCAAAGGTTGGAAACCAAGTTTACGACATGTACGCGTTTGGGGATGTCCATCCGAAGTAAGAGTCTACAATCCACAAGAAAAGAAGTTGGACCCAAGGACCCTAAGTGGGTATTTCGTTGGATATGCCAAAAGGTCTAAGGGATACAGATTTTACTGTCCATTTCATAGCACTAGGTTTGTGGAATCAAGAAATGCTAAATTTCTTGAGAATGACTTGATTAGTGGGAGCGATCGATCCCAATGCGTTGGTCTTGAGAAAGATCATTTAGATGCTCAGTGTGCCACTTCAAGCAACGGACTGGTCGTTGTTGTTAACAACACGCCTATAGTTCAAACGCGTGTTGAAGAACCAGTTCACGAAATACCACAAGCTGATGATCCTGATTCAGTAGATGTTGAAGTTCAACAAATACCTGAAGCTGTTGAACAACCAGCTGAACAACATGATCCTGATCCTCAGGAAAATGTTGATGTAGCATTAAGAAGATCTACTAGAGTAAGGAAATCGGCGATTCCTAGTGACTATGTCGTGTATCTACAAGAGTCTGACTACAATGTTGGAGCCGAAAATGATCCTGAGACGTTTTCACAAGCCATGAGTTCTAAGATTTCAAACTTATGGTACAATGCCATGAAGGATGAGATGGATTCTATGGCGTCAAACCGAGTATGGGATCTCGTCAAGTTGCCTGATGGTATGAAAGCCATTGGATGTAAATGGGTTTTCAAGACAAAGAAAGACTCACAAGGCAACATTGAGAGATATAAGGCCAGACTCGTTGCCAAAGGATTCACTCAAAGAGAGGGAATCGACTACACGGAGACATTTTCTCCTGTATCTAAGAAAGATTCTCTTCGAATCATTATGGCATTGGTTGCCCATTTTGATTTGAAATTGCATCAAATGGATGTGAAAACGGCCTTTCTTAATGGTAACCTAGAGGAAGAAGTTTATATGAAACAACCTGAAGGTTTCTCCTCTAGTAATGGTGAGCACTTAGTCTGTAAGCTTAATAAGTCCATATATGGATTAAAGCAAGCTTCTCGTCAATGGTATTTAAAATTCCATGATGTTATCACTTCATTTTGTTTT